ACAGTATTTTGAGAAAGTCCTTGACATGGGCAATATTAATAAGAGATTTATGATTAGTTATTGGTATTGAAATAAAGAAGCTGACAATACAGATCATGCTGCAGGAACTTGTGGTGTCAGTTATTGATATTATTTTGGAATAGGAATTAAAAGGATGAATGCAAAACTTTGAATACTTTAAGAATTTAGACCAAGTTCGATGAAATTTACTTTAGCCGATTTTACAAATATTGTCATAAATCCTAGGACATTTGATAAAAAAAATTAAATGAATTATTTTTCGGTCGATTCTATTAAGTTTGTAATTTTGGTATAATAGATTCAATAAATTGAAATTTATGAATCTTATAAGGCTACATAACGCATATCTCTGGTTGAATACAGAAATACTTCAAAGTATCTTTGCAGGCGAATTCAAGAAATTGTCACATGTTTAGATGTTAGCAAATATTCTATAGTCGGGTTCTCAAGCACTTTCGAAGTGTTGAAAAATTTTTGTAATATATTTTCGAAACATAACATCAGGAAAGTTTGAAAACCGATTATTATCGCTGCTGATGTTGATCCAACATGTACAAAAATGTACAAAAATTGATTAAAGGTGAGATAATTGATCATATCTAACTTCTTTAAGATTGGCACCAATTTGTGTAATATATTGATTTATAAATGTCTAATTTATATTTCTTATTGAGATTATTGGTCAACAATAGCATCCTTTTCTCTAAATTTTCGTATCACCAAACACGTTGGGCAATTTAATAACAATAATGTTGAATATGTCAACATTTTAATGATAAAACTAATCTGTAGAATAAGTATTACATGCAAGATAAAAAAATATACAGTCGATACGTACTATCTAATTGCATACTGTCTAATTGCATATACATACTAAATGCATAAAAATTTTTGGATTTTAATTATTAACACAAAAATGGTTCTTATGACTTAAATGCATATACTATCTATATGCATAAAAAGTTTCTGATGAATTGCATGCATTTAGATAGTATCGACAGTATCTTCTACATCTATATACCGATCATGCTAATATTTATCAGATGACTTAGAATTTATAATAATAGCTGTACCGTATTTGCGCGAATTAACGCCCATGGATGTTATTTAGGGACATATAATTTGAAGTGAGCTAATAATTAATTTAGCCGAAGACTTTTAATAACAGAAAATTATGATTCGCACTCGGATAAAGTTCTTTTCAAACAATGTGTTCCTAAATAACGCATATTGGCGTTAATTCACGCAAATACGGTAATTGATTTTAATTCGGATTTTCGGAAATTACCGAAAAAATTTGCCTCAACCTTGTTCATATTTTAGAGTTTAAGAATGGCAAGTCTCGATTAGCCGATTTTAAAAAATGTCGACTAAGCCGATTCATTGCTTTAGCCGACTTTTTTCTCACTTTCGCCCAGGATCATTATAATGGAATTGGGCATTTTCAGTTTCTTGTATTTTTCGCGTTTTACAACTTTTTCGCTTCGTTGGGATGATCCGGGTAAAGACAAATCATAACGTTTTTTTATTGTGTAACTTCATATCGTAGAGTTGGAGATATCATCCTCACGTGAATTAATTATATCCCGCGCGAAATAAATTTTTAATAAAGAATATTTTAATGATCAATGATTTATAAAATATAAATGTTTTTTTAAATAAAATAATTAATTAGACTAAAAAAAGAAAAAAAAACAATTTCGTCTCGTATGAGGTTGTCTCATATTTTGCGCTAGATCATATGACATGCGAAATATATGCTAGGTGAGGAACATCTCTAGTAAGGAGGTTTTAAAATTGTGATCAGAATAATTTTTTTTTAGAGCTCTTAATGTGACTTTACACATCTTCATATTCCTTATTTCGGAAACTATTTATTTCTATAATACCTCTGCATTCGGTTTCTTTTGATTCTGCTAGCAGATAGTGATATGTCGCGGACAGTATCATATAGAATATTCTAGATCAAGTCAAACTTCTTAAAATTTAGACTATAACTATATGTTCTGTACGTTAAAGAAATTCAAATATCATATTATTAACCTTACCTCCGGAAGAATAACAACTGAGCTCAATTTCATATATTTCTGATCCTATTATAGTTGACATCTAATTTACAAGATTCTGCATTTGATTGCCACATTAATTGTCGATTAACAACATGAATAAATGCGACAATACCGTAAAATAACGCGGTATTTTCACAATCTTTAATGGGTAAAGAAAAGGGGGCAAATTGTATAGATAATTAGATACAAATAACTTTTATCGTTATATACCATATATCGATATATATATAAATTATATACCAATATATATATATATGTATAATAGTGCCTCAACCAATCAAATCATATAATTTGCAGATATTTTACCCGGGTAAGGCTAGCAATTAACTTGCAGATAACCCGGATTTGCTTAAGTAGGATGCGACGACCAACTTTTCTGTGATATTATTTCGATGAAACACAACATGCTATACGAAATAATTACATGTCAAATTTAGCGAAACTTATAAATATTTTTAAATTAGTAAGTCATGGGATGCAACTCTGATTGAATGGCACGAACAAACGAAAAAGACCGTTAAAAAAAAAAAAAAAAACCAAATAACATTAAGCGCACGAATATAACAACTCATTAATTAAATAATAATACTGAAAACTCACATTAAATGCACACAATCGGGCCATATGGACAATTAAACAAAAAGCCATGCACATAAAAATGGTTTGCATTTATAGGAGAACCGAACCAGTACGCGCATTTAAAAGATCATGCACATATAGTCCATGGACTTAAAGAGGAATTTATTATATATATATATTTTTAAGGAAAATTATCTAATCAATACATTTATAGAAGGTAATTTGTACTATTATTTTCAATTAAAAATAAAAACAATAAAAATAGACAGGAATAAATAAATTATTGAAAAGGCTAATTGGCTAAATAGCCCCTGCAGAATATTTGGGTCAAAGATAGACATTCTTTCTTAGTAATAATGATACTTAAAGATAAATTGATTGAAGCAATTAAATTAACGGTTCATTTTTTATAGATTAGTATTAGAGCTTTTTCATAAATCTTTGATTTCCGGATTAGAGGAGCTTAAGTCCGGACAATTTTGTATGGTGGATATTAGTTATCACTTAACAGGCTTAACAGGTTAATAGGCTTAACAGGGTATGAAAATTTTAATGTTTATGTATAACAATAATGTAGCTATTTTTATTTCACATAACCGGATACCAAAGAAATAAGCACGTGCTGTACTATGTTAAGCAATAATGGTAACGCAACAACTTTGGTTTATGACCATAAATTTCTACAGCATAGAATGAGTGGTGATTGCAAGGTATAGGATAAGAAATCTTATCCGATAGCTTACTATGATCGGACTACGTATCAGAATAACTCGAGTTATTAAATAACTTTGATATTTGGTGATAATGTAATTACCATCGAAGCAACTCGAGTCATTCCGATGGTCCAGTCGTCGTAAATTATCGGATAATACCGTTATTGAATGCTACGCACCAATAACTTACTTATCTGGCTTTAAATTCAACGTACCATTTCTGGGTCCCTACGGGGCCCATAAAGCTGGCACATTAATTTAAAACCAGATAGTGGAGTATTTTTACAAATAACCATAGTATTGATCATGTAGCATGTAGGCATCCGAACCAATCACAATTCCTAACCCTATAGTTATGTTAGTTAAATATCGGGTAATCTCGTACGTACGTACAATGTCAACTCTAAATGTTTTAAAAAGAATAAGATGAAGATAAGAGCATCAAAATGATAGTGATAGGATTGATAGGGGTCATTAAAGTCAATCTGCACCCTCTAATAACGATAGCCAATCCCACCATAACCCCATTATTAAGATCATCTGCATGCATGATCAAGTTTATTTTAGTTCAACTCGTCCAAAAATTTTTAAAGCTCAACTTTTTAAATATGGTTTAATAATTGCTCAATTTAGTACTTTTACTTTCATGAATCAAACATAAAAAAATGTAATAATGTATTTTTAACCGATGATATTTTTGTAGCTTTAAATAGCATACATTTTGGGCTTATACAGTATTATGATTTCAAGGAACAAACCACAATCCCTTGAATAACATACATATTTATATGTTAATATGAAATTATCACATGCATGATAAGTCCTAATGACTTAAAGAAAGGATTGAAGAACTACATATAATTTGGGGAATATATAGAATATATAATGACATACATCATTAATGTGCAAAAATGCACGTAATGTACTGTATGTACGCACAGTACGTACGTACATAGATTAAAAAGGTGACCTTTTATGATAAATACATACTGATACATATTAGATATATATATATATACATACGTAACATATCTGATATCAATATGTACGTTAATATATGCGTTATCATTATCATATTCATAACGGTAATAACCGCAGTAAAAATTCAATGCTCGCGTGACCTTCTAAGGTAGTACGGTGGATCAACTATTTATAAATATGATTCACATTCCAAGTTAGTTTAGTTTTAGTTCGAATTTCTTAACTTTTAAGTACGAAATGGATGTTATCGCAATTATTGAATTATAACGATAATAATAATAGTAATAAAATTTAGTGAATTATTTACTTCAAATTTATTAGATCTATAATTGAAAACTATTTACTATACCCGAATTATAAATATATTTTGGTATGTTTGGTAAATTTCTTTCATCTTGTAAATTTAGATAATCCTTCATTAATTATATTTAATACAGCTGATAAAAATCTAGTAAAACTTAGTTACTGAACAAAATTCTTTATTCTATTACGACAAGTAGTTAAAATTTCATTCCATTTGGATGTATATATATGGTAATTATTAGTTATTATTAATTACGAAATATGTTCACAAAACGTTATTTCGATATATCTTACATGCATTTTTTCATGTTGGTGGTATTAAAAAAAAAAAGCGATGGATAAAAATACTCGTAAATATGGGACATCTCGTCAGACTGCACAAAAAACTGGTCAAAAGGTTAAACCTTCAACTACTTCCAAACTCAAACCTTCTAAGCATTCCGCCGCTCCTTCGAATAAAATTGATTGTGAACCAAATCCTCCTTCCATTCCGTCTAACCAACAACATACTAGTTCATCCTCGATCGGCGGTCAAAATCCATTAGTTGTTTCTGATGACTCTAAATTAGTAGAAAATAAACCAATTATTACATCATATGTTACTTCATCACAAAGATTGCCTCCTAAAAAATCTAATAAGAAAAGACCGATGTCACGTAATAATTTTACAAACGTAAAACCGAGAAATATTAATGAATCTTTGGCATTCGATAACATAGAACAGATTGATGAAGATGATGGGGTGGTGAGTTTTATCAAAAATTATTATTAAAATCTTTTTATTGTTTTTATTTATATTTATTTCAAAACTAAGTTTATTTCGGTGATTAAAAGGTTCTTATAATAACCAACAAACCATCTACGATTTCCAGTAATCGTTCTTCTATTCAGCCAAAAAATCTTGTTAGGAGACCAACATCTACTAACATACCTAAACGTACAAGTAGCATTCCTACCAATGGTAGACCACGTGAACGATCAAGTGCATCCATTATTATACCTTCAACCTCCAAGTCAAGCACTAATAATGTCAACTTTGTTCATCATCCATCAGAAAAGATTAACGATTCGGATGGTTCAAGGAGAGGTTCAAGAATTACACCAAAACAATCAAGACCAAATTCTTCTGTTAATAAATCACCTGTTCGAAACGTAAAAAGTAATAATGCCCGATTATCAAAAAATAACCCTTCTATGTCTCCTATTATTACACCAAAAATAGATAATGTTGGGAATTTACTCTCTGTACCATCTTCAACTTTAATACATAACAGAGATTCATATCTAAAAAAGAATCATATTTCTTCTATTGTTACGCCAAAAAGACTCTCTGTACAATCTACAAATTTAATACAGAATAAGGATTCATATTTAAAAAAAAGTCCTCCTAGTTCTCCTATATTTACACCAAAAAGGGATAGTGTTGAAAGTTCTTCGTCAACTTTAATACAGAACAGGGATTCATGTTTAAAAATACATCCACCATCTCCGCTTTCAAAGGTCGCGTTTACTTACTCTGACATAAATCATGATAAGTCTATGAGTGAGACTCTCCCACAGGATTTGTCGAACAAGACATCTTCTGTTAATGATGATGACTTGAAAAGGCGTAAAAAATTGTGGAATGTTATTAAAGAGTTGATAGAAACTGAAAAGGCTTTCTTACAAGATATGAGGCTTTTGGAAGAGGTAAAGTATTATAAATAAGTATTATAAATAATTATTATAAATAATTTATTATAAATAATTTATTATAAATAATTTATTATAAATAATTTATTATAAATAATTTATTATAAATTATTATAAATAATTATTATAAATTGGAATAAGATGTAGACTTTTTTCTTAACTTTTTTCTTTTTCCTATAAGGTTTATTTTATACAAGCACGAGATATTCCTATTTTCGACCAATATGATTGTAAAATCATATTTAGTAATCTTCCGGATATAATAAAGTTTTCGGACGATTTTTTAGATTTATTACTTACTGCTAGTGGAATTGAAGGATCTGATAATGACCTTGAAAAACATTATAAGTTAGAAAATGATGAAACATTTATTGGACATGTGTTTGCACAAATGGTACGAATATATGATTATTTTTTATTGTCTTCTTATTTAATATTTGATTTCATACATATATATACTTTGAATAGATGAAAAAGGAACAAGGTGATAGTAGGTTGGAAAAGGTTTATGGTGAATATTGTAAACGGCACGAAGCTGCCGTTCAGAAGCTTCAAGAATTTGATCATGACGATAATGTTCAAGGATTTTTACAGGTTCCTATTAATTCCTCTTTTTTAAAAAAATTATGAATCCTTATTTATTACTATTATTATTAATACAAGTGTTTCTTTATTAACTTTCATTCTATTTATAAGAAATGTAAGAGTCAATGTAATGGCCGAACAACATGCTGGGATATCACAAGTCTCTTGATAAAACCAGTGCAACGTGTATTAAAATATCCGTTGTTACTACATGTGAGAAAACTCCTTTACTAAAATAGTAATGAATTCGGAACTTTAAACTATTACTAACTTCTTTTATTATATATATATTTTTTTTGCAGCAAATCTTATCACATACGAAACCTTCTCATCCGGACTATGAACAAATTCAATTTTCTTTATTGGAAATTACTAAAGTTGCTGAACGTATTAACGAAATAAAGAAACGTAAAGATATAGTCGAAAAAATTGTAGGAAATAAAAAACATAATTACGTTAGTATATCTATATTTTTTTGTAAATTTTTTGATCCAATTTAAAAAAAAAAAAATTAAAAGTTTAAAATAATTGCTTTTTTTTTTTTGATAAAATTTGATCATAATTGTTTATATAATTCTATTAAATATACGAATTAAATAGTTTATGTAAGTGATTTAGACAACTTTTTTTTTTCTCATCGTTATTCATTGCTAATTATTATTATATTATTTTAGAAATGGTATTAAACATGGTATTGCGAAAAAAGTAAAAAGAAACTTGGTAGGACCATTCTACTGAAATAATATTATTTGAAAAAGTAGGATTATTTGATCTAGATGTATTAATTTCGGAATAATGATATTGACAGAAACGTAATGATATAAAAGTCACGGAGGATGAGCTATACAATGCTTATGTAGAAAAGTTCAAAAGTTTGGAACAAAGAGGACTTCAATTAGAAGAGGACGTAAAATGTTGGGTTAGAAGTATTAAATGTAAGTATCATTTAATAGTATCATTTAATAATTACAAATTAATAATTGCAAATTAATTAATTACAAAATAATCTTGCAAGTTTCTCAACATATATATTTTTTGACATTGACATTATTTCCTTAATATATTTTAGCATTTTTTGAAGACCAGCGGCGATTAGCAGCTGCAATAGAGGAATTTCATACACTAGGGATATCTACAAATAAAAATTTAGATGACTTTGTAAGAATAATCGAATACGGAAAAACTATTAAAGGCCTGGAATCTTCTTGTGGAAAAGAAATGGTATGTTATTCATCTCAGTAAATTCATAACAATTATTTAATTAAATATTTGACAAATAATATAATAATAGGAGGAAGCAATCAAAAAAGTGTTATTTCCTCAAATTGAGAAATTTTTGTCACTTTTTAAAGCTCCCGCAGCTGTTATGAAAAAACGTGAACGAAAACTTTTGGATCATTGTCATGTCAACTCATTAAAAGCAAAAGGTGAAACAGTAAGTGTATTGATCTCATAATATATATTTTTTAAAGTTATGTTATTGGATGTTTTTTTTTAAAAAAAAAAATTTATAATTTCCATATTCAGCCTGAAAAATCGCTCCAACAATCTGATGATGCTTTTATGTCTATCTCGGAACAATTACGTGAAGAATTACCCACATTTTTCGTGTTTATGATGGAATATTTTGATATTATTGTGCAAGAATTAGTTAAAATACAGGCTCGATTTTATCGACAAATGAGCATGGACTTTCAGCAATACTTTTGTAAGTTTGTAGATCTACAAGCTTTAGAGCAAATATCCACTGATAGAGAATTGGTCCTGAGAGATATGGATATAGTTGGAGAATATACTAATTATTATCATTACATGTTGGAAATGGATAAAGAATTAAATAACTTTGTTCTCATCGATACACAAAGTAATTTCAAAAACCCTATCATTTTTTTGTTAAGCGGTTATAGAAACTTTTTTAAGACAAATTTTTATTATATTTTAACATATAATAGGATCAGATATTAATGATAATAAGAATGAACGAAAATCAAAATCCTCAGAATCGGTTAGATCTTCAACTTCAACTTCATCAAGAAGATTAGAAGGTTCACTAAATAAAGAAGGTAATTAAATTTAATTATTATTTTTATTATTTTTGTAGATATCGTGATTCTCATATAAGGCATTTTATTTTAGATTCTAAAGAACATAGAAAAGGTGGTATTTGGACTGACGATGATGATGCTGGTATGATTCAAATATGACTATTAAAACTTATTATGAAGTAGATTCAATTTTCCGTTAACGTGACAAACACTAAACTGTGTTGGAAAACTTAAAAAATAATTATTTTTGAGTACAAAAAAAACGCATGAATTTTTATATTTCACCTGATTTAATTGATATCATATAGTTATACTTGGATGTCTAAATTTACTTAAATAATTATTTCGGCAATTTTCATAATTGCTGAAATGGTTATTTTTGTATCAAAAATACATTAAATGAGGAAAATCAGCTTTAGGCTTTCAAATTTATTATGTTTTATTTTCTCAGACTCACATATATTATACGTAAATAATTTAATTACTTATTATATATGTTGCCTGATTCCATTAAATAATAAATAATAAACCTGAAAGTGCGAAGTCTTGTTTTCCTTTTGCGTTAGCTAAATAACGTAGTGTTTTTGTGGATTAATATGAAAAAGTCGAAAGGTTTAGCGAATTTAAAAATAATTTAGACATTCATGTAGAAGCATAGTCACGTGCGCGGAAAACCAATAAATTCAAACATATATATATTTAACGTTAATCAAATTCTTTTTTTTTTTCAGAAGGATATTCATGGTATTCAAGTAATTCGTTAGACAATAAAATACGAAACCTTTTTGAGTTTGATCAAACAATTGAATACGAATCTCGGCAGAAATATGGAGCTCATAAAAAATACTCCACAGATAGTATAATTGAGCATCGTTCATCATATGATAACAACACGTTTCATGATTCTTTGATTGGTGAAGAAAAGGACGAAGTCATCATTTTTACGTAAAATTGTTTATAGTATGCATAAAATCTTGTGCATAATATTATTTGTCAAAATCATCCTTATTGTTTATATATTCTTGACACTTTAAAGCATGATTTTAAAACCTACAATTTTTTTCTGGTTTGTATTATACACCTCATCATATAATAGAGATTATTTGGAAGTTTAGATTACTTGTATTGATATAACGGATAATTAGGATTTTATATCCCATTTTTGTTTATGATTATTTACATGTTATTATTATGTACAAAATTTTCCATCGTTATGTAAAAAGCCAAGCAATTATTTTTAATTTAAAATTAATTTTTTGGACATAAAATATATATAATTTAATAAAATCAATATATAATAACCATAGCAAGATATTGGTCTAAAATTTTTATTATTTACATGCGATTTATATTGTTTAACGAGTTCTTATCGTTATAGTAGATTGAAGTAAAAACTGTAATTATCATTGTATTACTTAATAATTGTTTAATAAACCTATATATCCACTATGATAATATTTTAAATTGTATTCTGGTAAATTTTATCTAATAATCATTTATATGTTTTAAAAACATACTGTTAATATAGTAATAGATTCAAAAAAAAGCTTGTTTATATAGTAAGTGGTTTAATTTTTTTTTTTATAAAATAAATATTATACATAATCTTTTATTCAAATATAAAATTTATAATAAAATTCAAAAGAATTTTTTGAAATTACAAGTTGATATTGTGGTAACCCATGCTAAAATTTTAAAACCTATAATATAATGTACAACCTAAATCTAAAAGAAAAGTAAAAATTTTTTTAAAAAAAATTCTAAAGTTTTAATTTCAGCACAAGTTTGTCAATTTATTATTAAATTAATAAAATCTGTTCATTAGATTATTAACCTAATAAAATCTGTTCATTAGATTATTAACCTAATAAAATCTGGTCATTAGATTATTAACCTAATAAAGTCTGTTAATTAAATTATTAACCTAATAAAGTCTATTCATTAGACATATATTGTACCGTACAGTTACCTAGTCTTAGTATAGAAATCTCAAGCTACGCACGTATCTAGGAAATTTGCAGCTTAAATAAATAGATAATAAATCGATAATAAATCGATAATAAATCGATAATAACTTTAGTTATCATTTAATCTTTAAACAATTAAGATAGTAAGTAAAATTATAAAATGTGACGAAATTTATTTTTCACGTAACCACAAAAATGTCTCATTTTTTTTTTCTTATAATCAATATATAAATACATACAAATAATCAACTCCCAATGCATATTCTCCTAATAAGAGTGAGTGCATTAGAGTTACAATTCTAATTTTCGTATGTTATATATAAAATGAACTGTAATTTAACCTTAATAGAATTAAAATGTTTAATTAATTTTGTATGCCCTTTTAATGTTAAAGAAGGATTTTTTTTTTGTTTTTTGTAAAATATTTTGTAAATATTTTTTGTGTAAATATTTTTTGTAAAATATTTTGTGTAAAAATATTTTGTAATTAGAAAATTTTTTGTTTAATTGACCGACGAATAAAAAAAGAAAAAAAAAAATTAGGAAAGAAGAGCAAAATTATAAAATTCTAAATTATTAAATTTAAAATATCTACAAATTAAAAATAAATAGATAGTACACTAAAATATATCTTCATGAAATTCATTTATATATTCATTATACATATTTGGAGATTGACCATCTATAAATTCATCGTATGCTTTTTGTAGTATTCCGAACCAAGAATGATAAGGGATCGAACTATCCCATTGATTATGCCAATGATAAGTGAATGCACCTCTGAAAAATTCTTTCTTATTCCTCAAAGTAGTAGTAGAAGTAGTAGAAGTAGTAGTAGTAGTAGTTTGATCGTCATAAGGGAATTCGTCATCAACCACATTTGATTTATAAGTATCGTGGAAATAATTTATATTAGGTTTTGTGACTTGTTTTGATAATGATAAATCAACTTTTAACCATAATGGATCAAATACAGTTGTTGGCATCATGTAAAGATATTTGTCCAAGTCCTGCTTGACAACAATTCGCTTTTTGACGAGATAATACTTTATCTGGAATGGATGGAAATTCATATTGTGTTGCATAGCACTTTCGATGACGGTACGTACGGTCTCACTTTTTGCATTAAGACGTAGAATGGCAGTATTGTAATTAAGCCAAAAACTCCAACGATAAGCAAATTCTTGATCAAGGTGATAAACAGGTCTCATATCACGTAGGAAGAGAACATCAGCATCAACATACATTCCACCATATCTATATAATAATACAAACCGGACAAGGTCACTGTAACCAACGGTCGGAATTTTTGGGTTAATCTTTTCTTCCCAACCATCGTATATTGAATCATAACTAAGTTGTTCAGTAAGATTCCACCTTCTCAAACGAAAGTTATTTGGGGAGAATTTGAGTAAAGGTTGTATATGAGAATTTTGGGTAAAGTCAATTTCTTGATTTTGGTCTAACCAAACGTTTAAAAGAGAACAATCTAAGGGTTGTGTATATAAGAAAGATTTTATCATCAAAGCGATTTTATCATTTATTTTTCCTCTCCAATAAACATGAAATAACATTGGTACGCTGTCTGGAGAACAAGTAATTTTTGAGTTTGGATTCTCTATTAAATAATCATCTTCTTGTTCGTCAAGAAAATTTAAACAATCTTGAATATTGAAAGTATCAAAATAATCAACATCATATAATTCTGGTTCACAATATTTGTTAATGAGGGTAAGGTTAACAATGTAACCATCATTAGGACGATGTTTTAAAACAACAGGACGTAAAGGTCTTATTTCTTTTAAAATAACAGACTCGTCAGTAGTAGGTATAAAGTCAACAAATGTATATGTATATGTTATATAAAATATTTGAACAAGTGTGATAAGGATAACAGCCACCGAACAACTATGATCTCTAAAAAAAAGAGCCATCTTTTAATGTATATAAAAGAGCGATGAATTATACTCTTTTATTTATTTTTAAAATTTTAAATGAGTAAAATTGGTAAAAAAGAAAAGGATGACTGACAAAATTTAGTAGATAAAAGATATAAAAAAATTGTACAGCATATATTTGGTACTTTGAAAATCGTTTCCAATACAAATAGGAAACGTTTTATTATTATTGGAGAGTGAAAAATAAATCTACACACCGTTACCGTTACTGAATCCTTTATTTTAATATTTAATGGTTACATGAAATAACCTGACCAATTAAATCTACTACTATTTCATCTCAACAAAAAAAAAATATAAAATCCATCATAATAATCACGCATATTCTAGACCATTCAGCGGTATAAACAAATGCTCACAACCTTTTCTGGAAATCATGTAGCGCCTTTTTGCACTCTGCTGATCACAGCTTAAATAATGCGAATTGATACATACTTTAATAAATTTAATTATTATCACATGTGCAAGTTAACATTTACATGCTGTAAGTTGGAAGAGGAATTTAGAAATTAATACCTAACAGGGATAAGTTTAAAACAAGGGTTAATATTAGTACGGATTAGATTGTAGGCTTATACATACGTTATGAGTGTGGCAAAAATCGAAAAGTATTTGGTAAAGTAGTACGGTGGTACAGATTCGAACAGATGTACATACACTTAACATAGACTTACTGTATTTGCGCGAAATAACGCCCCCGAGGCGTTGTTTTGAGACACATAACTTAAAGATAGTTAACGTTAAGAATTATCAAAATGGTAAAAAAAATTTTTTTAATATATATACGTACAGTATATATGTATATATATATATGTAAATATATGTATGTATATATATGTAAATATATGTATATATATGTATATGTATGTATATATATGTATATATATGTATATATATATTGTTTTAAAATTATTAGCAGCAAAAAAAAGTTTTTTGAATTTTTTTACCTTTGATAATTTTAAATTTTGAAAATGATAATAATTCAACTAAATTAATTAACTAAATTAATTCAACTAAATGAACTGTAATTCTCTTTAAATTGTGTTATATCACACACCTAAGGCGTCACTTAGTGCGAGTACAGTACGTATAAAGTTCAATAATCCTTTTTTTGAATGATTAAAGTTAGTTTAAGTCTTTTTTTAGTGTTAGGAAGAACAAGGTTAACTTTAGTTTGAAAAAAAGTTTTTTTTTTTTACAGCTATCATGATTTCCACACGTCTGTCCTATCATGATTTCCACAGTCTATCCTAATTTACTCCAACTTGTAAATATGCACATGAATACATATTTTTTGTACGAACTCAAAGTCATATTATATCGGGAATTAACCTCTGAAAAATTTTACATTTACGTAATTTGATCATTATACGGTTACATTCTGAGAACATAAATACAATATCTGTTATGAATGTTACTATGTACGTACGTATGTTACAAGTAAATAATCCGATTAAGCTCTGCACCATTTACAGTATACAAAATAATGTTTCGTAAAATGGATTCGACTTGGATCTGCAGATCAATTTCAAATAATTAATTAATTAATATAGTACGCTTGTATATCACCGAATCAGAATCATGAGATTTGATTCGATGAATATAAATACATCAAAGACAAAAGTTACATACATCAAAGATAAAAAAGATACATACATCAAAGATACATCAAAGCCATTCTATGAATTTCTGACCATAACGAAATAAATTCATTTCAGCTGAATCGAGTTTCCGCTTATGCTAATTCATTTGACATCTAAATAGCTGTCGTGTAACAATAACCACCATAATGTATTTTTGAATGAATATGGTGATTGTAACACGGATTTAACAACGAAGTTAACATTGACAAAAAGGGTATTATTATAATACCTAAGTACGCACACATATATGCGTGGATTTGTTAGTTAATTAGGGTTAATAAGGAAAGTTATTTATTACACTATTTCTACATAGTATTTTAATTATGTTACACGAAGATTGCAAAGGTCGTTATCTTATAGTGACCCTGAATTTTGTACCAACCGAAAATTATATCACGAAATTCATCACGCAAACTATCAAGTACCGTCCGTATGTGTATAAAGGTCCAGAATGAAAAGAAATTCATATAAAATTCATATGAGCATTTGTAGATCTCAAATGTGATAATCCTGAATGATACTTTACCAATTAAATCACGGTTGAAGATCAGGTGTAACGTAGCACTAACGTAACACAATCAAAAAACAACAGATTTTTTTGCTAAAAATCGTCCATAACTCAAAAATCCGCATAATAAACCATCTTTAGTGCTCTAACAAAAAGTTTTCCTTGAGCAATTTTACTATGCATTCCATTAACCCTAAACACTAATATAGACGCTAACTCTAATATTAACAAATTTTGTCACTGAAAAATTTTTGGAGTAGTTCCAATTAGGGTTGCAGACATTTAGAAGGTCAAAGGTAGTACGTCACCTTTACGTTACCTACGTCATATAAAATTTGGGTAGTAACTTCAATACGTCACTACTTACGTCATGCCTTATGTTCATTGATGTTCTGATGTCTGCATTCACATGATCATGTGATATTTGTTAAATACAGAAATATTAAAATTAGGCTTAGTGATTAGGGTTAAGGCAAGAATTATAAGTAAAATCGCCTTCCCAATATTTTTTATTAGTGCTCCGAGACAGGTTTAGACCTTCGTTTCTTTTTTGTCTCGTCGGTAAATAAATATCTTTACTGTTGGAAATCTGCTAGGTTAATTTTATAACAAATTTATTATGAAAAATTCGGACATCGGTTAAATTTTAAATATGAAAACGGATAACGGATCGCACCTTTAGGTTGCCCGGCTTTAGACGATATATCCATTTACTATTAATACCTGTCGGATTATCCAGATATCTGAGTGATTTGGAATTATCCAGACAATCAGAAACGGATAAACGGATGACAGATTATCTGGATTGGAGCTCTAACTTTTATGAAACACTTGAAAGCGGTGATCAAAAAGTAGGTCATCGTCTCAATTTACCAATTTACTATAAAAAGAATTCATATATTTTTTTTACGACGTTGGTTGCTCACCCACAAAAAATTTTCCGGCACATGATTTTTAGCCAATTATATCGAATGATCAGGTGTAACGTAAAATCAAAACGATCGAATTAAGAGAAAAGGTTTTAAGAATGAGGAAGGGCATAACTTGTACTAAAATTTCACGAGGCTAAAATCACGTGCCAGAAATTTTTTGCGGGGGTTTTAATTCGACAGTTCTTAGGGACGGTTCAAATCACATGAATAGTTAGTTAGGGTTAGTGGTTTTAGTAATATCACGTGAATCGCACTGTCCCTAACTGTCCGTAGACTCGGCGGTTTTAATTTACCGAATTATTACATGAAAATCTATAACAGATCACTATTTTGATGGCATTTATTCTGGTTGGCTAATCTTTGTAGATCATTTTAAAAAAAAATCAACATCTTAAATTTTCACAGTTCACATCTTTGATGAATTTTTAATTACAAGTTTTGGCTATCAATTTCGGACACACCTACTCTTAAATACTTGTTAATTGATTTTTATTATTTGGGTGGGTACGTATACATTATTCAGCAAAAAATTTTGAATAACGGTAAATTTTTTCAACCTAGAGTTAACACTTCAATCTGGATTAATCCGAACTTTAAATAAATCCAGATACAACTTTTAGATAATATCAATCCGCATATCGATATAATTATAATCCGGATATATAAATTTATAAATTTGAACCTGAATATGAGGTTAAATCCGGATATAAATTCGAACCTGAATATGAGGTTAAATCCAGATATAAATTTAAATCCGGATATAAATTTAAATTAGAATAAAAATTTGAGTCTAGATATAAATTTAAATCGGGATATAAATTTGAATCCGGATATTTAAATCTAGATGTAAATTTGAATCTGGATATAACGATAACGATAACGATGATTTTAAAATCAGATTTAAATTTGTATTACGATTTAGTACAATAACGATAGCGATTTAATATCGTAGTACAGATGTAAAAAATTTTTTATGTATGTATAGTATGCAGATCATTGCTTGTGAACAAATAAAAGGGTTTTGCATATCTCATGAATTTTGAATAATTTTTTTTTTTGGATATTAAAAAAATCAAACATATATTAAAGAAATTTTTTTTTTATAAAAATGTCATACAAACAAATGATTGAAAAAAAGAAATGAATGATTCTTGCTCATATTAGTTTTTTTTTTTTTTGGTGTTAAGGTGAGGCCTTGCTCATATCTTTATTAGTAATTTTAGTTGTACATATCTTGCTTATATTAGTACAATGATTATTAAACAAGTTGCTTATAAGATTAAATATAATCTAATAATAGTTCAAAAGTTTTTAGAAAAATACAAAAAAATTAAAATTAAGAATTTATTTTGATTCAATAGTTTTTCATTTTGAAGAAATAAGAAAAATCATTATAATAAAAAAGCATTGAAAAAATGTGTTATTAATATTAAAAATTCTACATATTTTTGGTTATAACTTTTAATGTACTAAATTAAATTAAATAAAATTACTTGCATTAGATTTAGCTCACTAAAACAATTTTAAAAAATATAAGATCATGAGATTCTAATCACTAAATTACAAAATTGAAATAATTTTAATAAAATACTAATTTTAATACATGTGACTTAATTTTAATTAGTTTTTATTACTGTATTAAAAATCTATCATTTTTATTTTTTTTTTTATTTTTTATTTTTTTTATTTTTTTTTTTATTTTTATTTTTTATTTTTTATTTTTTTTTTTATTTTTATTTTTATTTTTTTTTATTTTTTATTTTTTTTTTTTAAAACTAGTCTTTTGAGAACTAGGGTTTTTTTATTCAGTATTGTAGAACATAGTAACTTACAGTTCAATTACCTCAGAGAAGCTATCTTACATTAGAGAGTACATCTAGCCACATGTACACT